CCCAAGTGCAAAACTTTGCACTTTGCTGTGTTGAACCTCATCAGGTTCACCCAGGCCCACCTTTCAAGCCTTTTGAGGACCCTCTGAATGGCATCCCTTCCTTCCACTGTGTCAACCACACCACTCAGCTTGGTGTCGTCAGCAAACTTGCTGAGGGTGCGCTCGATTCCGTCATCGATGTCATTGATAAAGATGTTAAAGAGCACCGGTCCCAAGACAGACCCCTGGGGGAGAAGTACAGAAGGGGAAGAATGATAGAGATAAATTAAAAAAAAGTAAACACATCCTGTGATGACTTTTAAGTTGTAAACTTAGAAGTATTCAGGAAACATTCACTTCAGTTTGAATTATAAACTCACTTTCACAATGTCTACTCTATGAAACCTCATTTCAGATGCTATATTGTACGCCTTTTCGTTGGGAAGACTGCAGCTTTTCTCTTACAACCGTAAAGCTGTTCACAACTGAAATATTCAAAAGCTTAAAAAAGCATATTAAAAGTTTTTGGCATCAGTAGCATAGTGTTGACATTTTCTGTGTTATTCAAAGCCAGCAAGCAAATGCTGAAATTGTTTACAAAATTACAGTGTATTCATTCTTGTAAGATTGAGTTAGAGCTGTAAGAAAACTCATCAAGAGACCTTTTCCTTTTTCCAAACAATTATTAGAAAATTCTGCTAGTTCTGCTTCTTTTAATGAGTGAGATTTGTTTCTTTGCTTCACGCAGTCCTTTGGAACACTTATGGAATTCAGATTTCTCTTTCTTTCAGTAATTAAATTGTTTCTGATCTTTACTGTCTTGTGAAGACAAGGATAGGAGTCCAGAAAGGAGATTAAAGTAATGCTAAGGAATTAAGCTTTGAATCCAGTGTAGTACTTAGTCTCATCTATCTCATCTCAGCCTCAGGATGCTGAGGTGGCAGTGCTGTTGTGGGGAGTAGGGGGAAAGTAAATAACTTGAAGGTGAGAGCTGAAACCTCACACAGCCTTAGGTTGTAACTCATGCTGAAATGAGCACATTTAACTCTAAATGTACACTGGGGCCTTATTCAGTTTGCTTTTGAACTTCAGCAAAAGCTAAAATCCAGCTCAGTGAGCACACAGATTTCTTGAATATAGAAATGTCATTCTTACCATATGCAGAATTAACAAAGCCTTGAAATGTCAGAAATGGCAGAGTGATGTCAGCTCTAGAGCCCAAGTCTGATCGATTCACTCTGAAACTAAGCTTCCTTACTCAGCCATTTAGGCTCTTTGTATTTGAACATCACAGCTCCATGGCATTTTTAGAAATGCTAGCAGATGTATTTTCCCAGAGCATGAGGTAATATAATTAATAATCCTAAAACGTATTTTTCTGTATGTAGAAAGTACACCTGTGCGTACATCTGATGTGGATTACCGGTTGTTAGAAGCATCCAAAGCTGGAGACTTGGAAACTGTGAAGGTAAATTTGAGCATTTCATATTAATTTTTCACTTTATTGCTGTGCAATCCTCATGGAACCCCTACACATAAGGTTTGTGGAAGTAGTGTCCAGTGGATGGTAAGTCATAAAAAAAAAAAAATGTGAAGGACAATTTCTTAATATTTTTTCTAGAAAGCTGGACATTGGGATGTGCTGCGGTGTTTCTCTGAGTTTGTGGTTGTTCATTCTCTGAGTCCTTCACACAGCCATATTTTTGTTGGAATCAGAAGTGTTATTTCATATACAGCCATGTTCTTTACCAAGGCATGATTCAATCAGAAGGCAAGCAAACAAGTGTTAGAAGGTGAGATGTAGCATTTTAAGCCATCCTTTTCTGAAGATGAACAGTTATACCATGAAATGCTGGCATCACAGGAAGGTTTGGTCTTAGCTTTCATGCGATCATACAACAATTCAGGTAAAATAGGCTGCAGATAGACCATCCTGGATGGTCGTAGCTTGAGCTTCAATATATTAACATTAATATATATTAACATTCAGCAGCAGTTTTGTGTACCAGCAACTCCTTTGACTGCTAAGCTCAATATTTCTAGATTTGTGAAGACAGCATGAGCTGGAAATGGTAGCTTGTCTGGAGAAACTTACATGGACTTGAGCCTGGTGCTTGATGACTTAGAGGCTTGCCCTTTTAATGTGTTAGGATTGTCTTCATGCTGCTTCAGTCGTTCAAGTCCTATTTCTTAAGAAAGTACTTTTAGACATAAATTTAGATGAGTTATACTTTTGATTTTGCTTATGTGGAAAATTTCCTGAAACCTAACTTAAAAAAATTGGTATATAATAATAAATTAACCAAATTTTATATTGTGATGATTGATGGGGGGTAGGGTTTTTTGTTTGCTTTGTGGATTTTCTTATTTGGGGTGGGTTTGTTTTTTTCCAGTCTTTTAATAGGCGTTGATTTCCTTTCACAGCAACTTTGCAGCCCTCAGAATGTGAATTGTAGAGATTTGGAAGGCCGCCATTCAACACCACTGCACTTTGCTGCAGGATATAACCGCGTATCAGTGGTGGAGTATCTGTTGCACCATGGGGCAGACGTGCATGCCAAAGATAAAGGGTATATTTTCATTCTGTGATATACTCTTATTGTTTTTTATTACTGTGAGATTTGAACCTCCTCTCTTCATTTTGGGTTGAATTTCAGGAACTGTCATATTTTTTCTTGTTAAAATTTTTTCTTTCTTTCTTGGAAGGAAGGTAGAAAGGTAGTGTTTAGGGACATGGTTCAGTGGGCAGTAATGGTGAATGGTTGGACTGGATGATCTTAGAGGTCTTTTCCAATCTTAAAAAATCCTATGATTGTTCTGTATTGTTTCTGTCATTAGCTGCGTGGAGACATAATTAAGTTGTGTTAAATATTAAGTTTATTAATATTGATTAAGTTAAATGTAACTTTCTGGCAAAACCACAGTCTCTCACACATCTGGCAATGTAATCCATGATCCTTCTCTTCCCCCTTTTGTCTATTTCAGAGATTTTGCAGTGTTTAAAAGCAGCCTCTCAGTTATTTCAGGTGATCTAAAATTAGATTGGAATAACATGAGGTAAAATACCAGAGTTGTCTCTGACCATTTCTCTGATTTGGTTAGATTTTATTATTAACTTATTTATTCAGTTAGATAAGAGAAATCCTTTACAAATGTTCTTATTATCTGATTTCTTGCAAAGTGATTGAGTGGAATAGTAAGATTTTTTGATCTTTCACTCTAATATATTGGACTTCAGGGTGAGGGGTAATTCGTTTCCAGCACTGAATTATCAGTTTTCCTCTCGAAAGAGACTTCTATTCGGACATCCTTCTATGGGTGTGTAGTTGTTAACAACTATACTTCAAACTTATTGCTTAGTTTTATACCTTTTCTGAAATTTTCAGTCAACTATGCATAGTCAGATTGTAGCAATTCTTGCAACTGTTTTTTGCTGCTGCTAACAGCATTAAAGCCACTTGCTTCTAGCAAAAGCAGCATTGCTGTTTGTTAAGCATTCGAAGCCTCCACTGTGAGATCTAAAGAACAAGGAAGATGTTTGTTTCATTTAATAATAGCAAGGAAATAAAGCCATAAAAGACTGAAAAATGTGGACTACTGTCCAGTGAATGTTTTATCTGTTGGAATTTTGTGTGATTGCATATTGGATTGTATTTTCTGTAGCTATTAAAACTTTATCTTTGATTAGCGGCTTAGTTCCCTTGCACAACGCCTGTTCTTACGGACACTACGAAGTAGCTGAACTCTTAGTGAGGCATGGTGCTTCTGTCAATGTAGCAGACCTATGGAAATTCACTCCTCTTCATGAAGCAGCAGCAAAAGGAAAATATGAAATCTGCAAACTGCTATTAAAAGTATGTGATCTAGAATTTTTAAATGTGTTTTTGAATATGTTTTGATTTTGTGTAAGATCGCATTCAAACTTATTTGCATTGTGAACTCTTAATGGTGCCGTTGGATCTGTTTTCATCTTACAGTTGTCGGCGTATTGTGTAATGTCTGTTCACTTACAGAGAATTGTTAGAATGGTTACTTTTCCCAGTAGGTTTATTAGATCGGTCCAACACGACCAGTTAATGCTATTAACCAAGTAGGACAAAACTCTCAAAATAGGGAAAAAAAAAAAGTATTTGTTTGGGAAAGGAGGAAAAAAAAAAAGCCTGCAACAACCAAATAAACAGAAAACACCAGAAGTCCTTACCTATTCATCCCCTTCTGGAACAATTTATGTGGTTAAGTAAATCTTTGTAAAAACATGCAAGAGTGTGTTACAGATCAATAACTGCAGGTGGGGACTGACTTAGTGTGTCTGACATGCAAAAAAAAAATAAATTTAAAACTGTTAAATCAATGTATAATCTATCAAGATCCTGGAGGAAATGTGTATTAATATCCTGTGGAATAAATATTCTTGATCAGCAGAAGTTGTAAAAGACATGAGGTAATACCAGCATATTTCCATGAATTTGAGAGACTTCTTAACATAAGGTCATCTTGGGATGGTAGAAGTGGGTTCTAGTGGATTTCTTACTAATACTATTTCCTATTATAGCCTTTGACTTCACATTTCTTGAAGCACGGTATTTAAAATATGAATAAGTAAGAATGTGGATTGTCTTAAAATTAAATTGTTCTTCCACACACACTTCTTTTCCTCTTGCAGCTGCAAAGCCCCAGTATAACAAGAATAAGTGTAGAGTCTTGCATATGGGGAGAAATAACCACATGAATCAATACAGGTTAGGAGATGAATGCTGGAGAGGAGCTCTGCAGAGAAGGACCCGAGTGTTCTGGTGGACAGCAGGTTGGCCATGAGCCAGCTGTGTGCCCTTGTGGCCAAGAATATCATTGGTATCCTGGAGTGCATTAAAAAGAGTACTGCCAGCAGGCCATGCTCTCTACTCTGCCCTGGTGAAGCCACATTTAGAGTACTGTGTCCATTTCTGGGCTCCCCAGCTCAAAAAAGATAGGGATCTCCTAGAAGGTGTCCAGCAGAGGGCCACAAAGATAATAAAAAGCCTGCAGCATATCCTGTATGAGGAGAGCTGAGTAACCTGGGTCTGTTCAACCTGGGGAAGACTGAGGAGGCATCTATTAATGTTTATACATATCTAAAGGGAGCTGGGAGGCAAATGGATGAGTCCAGGCTCTTCTCAGTGGTGCACAGTGATAGAACAAGGATCAGTGGCCTAAAACTTGCACATAGGAAGCTCCGTACAAGCATGTGGAAGAACTTCTTTACAATAAGGGTGACAGAGCACAGGAATGGGTTGCCCAGAGAGATTCTGGAGTCTCTTTCTATGGAGATATTTTAAGACCCATCTGGATGCCTACATGTGCAACCTATTGTAGGGAACCTGTTTTAGCAGAGGGTTGGTCTTGATGATTCCTCGAGGTCCCTTTCAACCCCTGCAATTCTGTGGTTCTATGATATTTCTCACCTGTCTCATGAATTAGTTCATTTGATTACCAAATAAGTATTCAGATTCAGAGAGAGAGAGCACATCTCTTAAAAACTCATCAGCAGCAAAAACCAGAAGGTGTGCAGACATGGCTGTGGAGTAGACACACTGATGACCATGTTAGTACCACCTGAATACAGGAGATAGTTCAAGCTTTAGGACTCTCATAATTGTTCAAGCACAACATTACTTTACAGGCACTGGAGATCTTTGGAATCTTCTGACCATTTAAGTGGGAATATAGCCAGTATAGCCATGTTCAACATCAAAGGGTCTTACCACAAGAAATACAGAAATGTTGAAATCTTTCTTTTAGAACTCACTCTTGCACAAGGACTGAATGCACCCTTAAGATGACATGGTTTTGTAAAGATTTTGAGTGTCCATGGATACATGCTCATGCTGCAGTTTACTCAGGGCTTCTCCTGCTGTGTGCCTCATGCCAAATGGCAGTGCTGTCAGTTCTGCTGAGCTGTAAATGTTGAGATTCATTTCTCCTGACTTGTGCTCTTTCTACCCTGTTCTATGTAAAGAATGAAACAAAAACACACAGACCTTTTGGAAAGACTGTCAAAGCCTTTATTTAAAATGGCTCCTTTGTTTGTTTCTGTGATTTTTAAGGAGTCTGAGAAGTTGCTACCTCTTCACTTAGATATTTATTCTTGACAATGCTTGAATAGTTTGATTTTTGTGAGTTTAAAATTAAGGAATCTAAGGTTGTATCTGGGAAAGTCATTCCTGGTTTTGAAAAGCTTTTTGCCAAAACAAACAAATTAAAAAAAAAAAAACAACTCTTTTCTCAAGAGAACTACAAATGCTGATCTGGTTCTGTATAATCAGTGCTCTGTCTCCTTCTGTCCCTTTCTGCTTACCCTTTTCACCTTGAACATTTCTGTAATGCTTCTGAGTACAAGATGGTTTGTTCCTTCTGCTCTTCCCATCCCCATCTCATTCTCTGTGGCTCACAGTGGCACAGCATGTAGCCAGCATCACTGGTGAGAAATGCCAAGGTAGACTTGCTGGCAGGGGTTAGATCACTGATCATTCTGAAGGAGTCAACCAAAGAATTAAAATGCCTACAGCTGCCTGTGTCCTATCTGTGTTTGATCTTTTCATTACTGCTAGCAGTGTACAGAGAGAGAGCTGTCCTCCCACAACATTGTTCATGGACACAACTCATGCTTTATGCTGTAGATGTTCATTCCCCTCTTTATCCCATGCTCTAGCAGTTTGTTTTTTTTCAGTGATTGATTTGCATGTCTTATGAGCACAGGTATATTCCAGCAACATTTTAAATCCACTTTTCTGCTGTCCCACCAAATGTTTTCTTTTCTGCTTGGCAGGACTTGTGAACAACTTAAGATTGTGCTGTTATATAATAGAAAGTGTAGAAATAAACATTTTTATAGATCATATCTCCAAGAAATGTCTTTCAGCAGCAGGGTGGTATTCAGTGAACCTGAGATCTTGCCTTCATTAGCCAAGATTGGCATACTGTTCTTCTGGATGTATTTATTGTATTGAACTGCACTGGCAAAATCCCTTGCCTCCCCTGTGCTTCAAAATAGTGACATTTGCGTGCGCTCTTCATGGTTTTGACAGCAGCATTGGACTTTGCTCTTTGCAGCATGGAGCTGATCCAACAAAGAAGAATCGAGATGGGAACACTCCTCTAGATTTGGTGAAAGAAGGAGACACGGATATTCAGGACTTACTGCGAGGAGATGCTGCTTTGCTAGATGCTGCCAAGAAAGGGTGCCTGGCTCGAGTGCAGAAGCTGTGTACTCAAGAAAATATCAATTGCAGAGACACCCAGGGAAGAAATTCAACACCACTACATCTTGCAGGTGAGTGAATGTGTTTCACAGAATGATTAAAGTTGAAAGGGACCTTTCGCTGTAATCTGTTAAAACCCCTCAGCTCAAGGGGTTCTATAGAGAACCAGCCTAGACCTGGTTCTCTATAGCTATGTCCAAGTGAGTTTTGAAGATCTTCAAAACTCTTCTCTAGGCAACCAGTACCACTGCTTCATCACTTGCTAAGTAAAGTACTCCCTGATGTTCACCAGGAACCTTGTGTCCCAGTTTGTGCCCATTGTTTCGTGTATTGGACTGGACACTACTTTCAAGAGCCTGTATGTTTTGTCTGCTTCCCATAATATTATAAGAAGAGGTTGCAGAGCTTTAAGGATAACTTTACCATACAGAGTGTTGTTAACTGGCACCTGTATTTCAGGAGTTAATATGGTTACTAAGAAAAAAAGAGCTTTTGCAGTTGAAAAAAATGCTTTAGCTTCACTGCCTGACAATTTTTGTTTGCTGAACTTCTCCTGATATTCAATTTATTTTTCCTGTTTATTTTCTACAGCTGGTTACAACAATTTGGAAGTAGCTGAATACCTTCTTGAGCATGGTGCTGATGTTAATGCCCAGGACAAAGGTGGATTAATACCTCTACATAATGCAGCATCCTATGGGGTAGGTACAGGCTCTTTTGCTTGTGGACACATCAACAGGGAGCTCCTAGAAGTCATATCGAAAGCTGGTTATTTTGCAGTTGTCTTGCAGTGAACAACCTTAGCCTCATGTGCATCCTGTTTTTTGTCCCATAGATGTAGCTTAGTGAGGCTTATTTGGGTGTAGCAGTTTGGAAACATCACTTTGCCTTTGTGCAAGCAAGCAGATGCAAAGCTTTGAATGGTTTTAAATTGTGAGTGACTGCTGAAAGAGGAAAGAACTCAAGTAGGTACTGAAAGAGTTGTGTGGAAGTAAGACAGGATCACGTCTGTTGCAGTGGGACTGCGATGGTTCACTGAAACTGTTTTAGATGAGGCAGGTCCTCTTTCCTCTGTCTGTGTGCATACCACTTGCACAGATGCCTCAAAAGCAGCTGCTAATTGCAGATGAGTTGAGAAAAAGCTTTTGCAAGCAATTGTACAGAGATGGTGCTTGAGAAGATCCTAGCAGCATGCTTGAGGCTAGGCAAAGGACATAAGCTCAAAAACTAGTGGATTTGATGATCTAATTATATGCTTTGTTACTGCAGGGCCATAGCACGAGAAGAGCAAAATCTAGGAGAGGCATTCTTAATGGATCCATGTGTTTTGCTTTCTTTTGAGATCTGAATGAGGAAGGCATGGGGAAAAGTGCAGTGTTCATCTTCTTTCTACTGAGTGTATCACTGAAATACAGCCTGCATCATTTGCACTGGTTCTCTGTCAGTCTGGGCTTTTGGTGTCTTAGAGAGCAAAAAGCTCTGAATACCGCTCAAGATTTTGAAGTGCAGCACTATGATTTTTCACTGTTGGTTCTAATACCAACAAGTATCATTCATCAGCTTCCATCATAAATACTAAGTGCCCGGCACGTTGCTTAGATCTAGAGATATATTCTTTTACGAAGATTGTGCTCACTCTTTCAAAGCACAGCAAACCAAAGCATTCTGTATGACAATAAGGCATGCTTTATTGTCACATGGCAACATAAAAGATTGGTTCAAGCTGATAATCGCTTCAAAAATCATAATGCCAGTTTAATTTGGTTATCTTGCTCTCTTTAGGAAAAGTTAATGAGGCTGTGTTTCAGTGCTTTTCCTGTAGTTGCCCATACTTCTGAGCTGTCATCAGCCCATTCAGATCTCTGTAATGGGAGGCAGACAGATGAGTACTGCTTTCAGATGTTTGTGGCTGGCAAGTTTCACAGATGTAACCTTTTCCTCATGAAGTATCTTCAGTTCTCCCAGCCAACGCTTCATTATGTGTGCCTCTCAGTAGGGCTTTGTGTTGTGGCAGAGAAGCTGCAGGAAATGCAATTGCTTTAAAAGTTTGGAAGAGAGGAAAAATAAGGTCAGCAGTAATTTCAAACTATTCAGAGCAAGCTTTTTCTAGAGCTGTTAAGAGCCTCTTAATTGCTGTTGAAAGAAAAAATGAAATCCATTAGCAAAAGTCTTTGTTCTTCCGCTTACTATTTTCTGTGTTTCATTCTCTTGCCTACTTTTTTTTTTTATTTCTAAGCTGTATTCCACAAGTAATTTTATTGGTCAAAGAGAGAGAGTTTTTATTCACTGATTTTTCTGTTATTTTAATCTGGGAGACTTCCAAGATAGAATGTTGATGGAAGCATGGAAATTTAAGTACTTTTATAGCCCTTGTAAAACAGTTGTTCCTTATGACACTCTTAATGAACTCTATCAATTACATGTCTCAAAATATGATTGGAGGAAGAATAAATTTGTGTTGCCTTGGGTGGGCTCCATGACAAAGCTCTGTATGCAGACATCTAAGTGGTGTCTAAGTAGTGTAGCATTGGAGTTCAGATCTCCTAGTCGCGTATCACAAATGTCACAGCACCATAAATTTGTGTTTCCAGTTCAAATATCTACAAATGTTTTGACAGCAAAGCCTATTTTGTGCTGGAGGCCTTATCCTGTAGTAGTAGCACAGACTACTTACCATGTAGTTCAGGTGATTTGACAGAAATGTAATTCTTTGCTTGATCAAAAATGGATTGGTAGGGTTGATCCAGATTTACTGATTGTGGAGCTGCAGGATAGAATCACACCTGTTAAGTGCACTACTGCATAAAGAGGCAGGTAAGTGGGTAAAAAAAAGGAAAGAGAAATCATGAAGTTCTCTAAGCACCAGTATTCTCATCATAAAGTAGGAAATATGTTTTATTATCAGTGTTGTGTTCATTAAAGTGTTTTTGTTTTCTAGCATGTGGACATTGCAGCATTGCTGATCAAATACAATACATGTGTAAATGCAACAGATAAGTGGGCATTCACACCATTGCATGAAGCAGCACAAAAAGGAAGGACGCAGCTCTGTGCTCTGCTGTTAGCTCATGGAGCAGATCCAACCATGAAGAATCAAGAGGGTCAGACACCACTAGACCTGGCAACAGTAAGTTCTTGCTTGAGTGCCAGCCACAGTGTACTCTGGAAGGTTTGCTCTGCATTTAAATGACTTTCTGTGGCTTCCTGGCCTCAGTTCTCTCTGTGTCAAAGTAGAGGGAAATGGATGTCTCCAGGGTGCATTTGCAATTTCTTTTACCCATGCATATCCTCTGGCTGAGGTTTTAACATGGTTTGTGATATGAGGATCCCCTCTGCTAAAGGATTCACTCCTGGAATCAGTCTTCTCATTGCCAGAAGCTAATCTATCTGAAAATTGCCTCCAGTGGTAGTCAGTCTGTGTGTGCTGTCAGTAATGATTTCACTGAACCTAGAAGAGAAATGAGATGAGGTTTTATTGGAATGGAATCACTTAGTAGGTGATCGTGGTTGGTGCCTGCGTATTACCTCAGCTCTTTTTTGACGAGCTCCAAAACAACATCCTGGAATTTGTGAGTGGCTGTCAAACCTATTTTAAAACTGGCACTGTACGCTTTCTTGTTAGCGGTGATAGTGGCAGCTGGTTAAAGAACCTAAGAAGGTCATGTGAACATGCATGTGTCAGCTTAACCATTCTTTCTAAAATAGATAACTGCACCCAAATTGGATGCCATGTCCGTTTCTGGTGCAAGAATCACAAAAGGATGTGCTATGAGGAAATTCTTGAAGATGAGGGTTCTTTTTAATTTAGTCTATAATGGTATTTTGCAGTCCAGTTGCTAGCCAGTTCATACTCCTCCTGAAGTTCCTGTTGTTTTTTTGTTTTAAACAATAAGAGATTATTGTGGCAAAGGGAAAGGTAGAGTTTTCCATTGAAACTTTGATCCAGTGCAAAATGTTTGACCAGAAGTTAACTGACACAGATTGAGACGGTGTTGTGTGGTCTAAGTTGCTGAGAATAATGTTTTTTATTGCTATACCTGCCTTTAACACCTGTGAAGTCTCTGTGCAATGCATTGGGATGCTCTAGCAGCCATAAATTCCCATGTTAGAAAAATAGGAGATTCTCCTTTTAACTGGGAGAATAGGGTGGTTAATTAAAAAAAAAAACAAAAAAAACAAAAGTTCCAAGAAAAAACTCTTTACAGAGATCAGTGACTTGTGATACAACTGAGCCTCGAGTTGAATGTTTTTGTGTTTTTCAGGCTGACGATATCAGAGCTTTGCTGATAGATGCGATGCCTCCAGAAGCTTTACCTACGTGCTTTAAGCCTCAAGCAACTGTTGTTAGTGCCTCCCTGATCTCGCCAGCATCTACGCCATCCTGCCTTTCTGCTGCCAGCAGTATAGATAACCTCACTGGGCCGCTGGCAGAACTAGCGGTTGGAGGGGCATCAAATACTGGTGATGGAGCAGCGGGAACTGAAAGGAAGGAGGGAGAAGGTGCATTTGCTGCTGGACAAGTTTGCATTGCCAGAAGTACAGTAGTTTAGATTCACAGCAGCTCTTGTTTTATCTGAAAAGCATTTCTGACCAAGCAGAAATTACTGCACAGCCTGAACTGTTGTCCACATTGTGAAGTGTCTGATGTTTGCTCTGTTCTGATGTGCTCTGCAGGAACGTTGTTGGCTGTTCACTTATGTTTGCTTTTCACAGTTAGATATGCTTTTGTAATCGGAACTGATTAGGTGCCCAGATGTTTGCTGTTGATTTTATCCAGAAGATCCAATGAGAATTAATTTGACAGAGTTATGATTGTGAAGGCTGGAGGATTTCAATAAGATTTTTTAGATTCTTATTTGGAATACATGCTGTGTATCAGCATCTGGGTGATTACATACCAAAAATACACCCAGTCTTCATTTCCTTCCCCTTGCAATATGAGCCTCTGGCACAGACTGATTGTGCTTTTCATTATTTGATACTGAGGAGGGGAATAGTGATTATATTTGCACTGAGGTTTCACACAATGGAAGTGGATTGTTTTTTATGAGGCAAATTGGTTGTATGAAGAATGAGTGACTGGGATTTTAAGAGAAGTGGTATTTGTTGGTTTATTTACTTATTTGAATTGAGTGTGTGAGATTAAATGATTTTTTTCTTATTACAGTTTCTGGTCTTGACATGAACATTACTCAGTTCCTGAAAAGCCTTGGTCTTGAACACCTTCGGGACATCTTTGAGACAGAACAGGTAAGTGTCAAGTGTTTTCTTGTGTTTTGAAGATAGACTTCAATTCCCTGATTTTATAAGAGAGCAAAAAGACAACTTCACATCTACAGGGAAAAAAAAAAACACAAAACCATATCCAAGAAAGGTGCGGTTATGAAGGAATTGGCAAATGCTTTTCAGTGAGGTAGAGACGAAAATATCTGCCTGTTTGATTTAGTTATCAGTGGTTTTCACTTTCTTAAAAAATGGTGATTGCTAATTTGGTTTGTATTCTGAGAACTGCACGTGAACTTTCAATTAACTTTTGAACATAAGTGATTATTAGAAAATTTAGGTTGGAACATCACCTTCACTTATCCTGTAGCAATCTTGATATTTGAAGAAACTTTTCCCCATCTATACTGCTACATGTGACACTTAAATTAGATGTAGGAATTCCTCCCCTAAGCTGAACTAGAAATCTAGTTGAGTAGTGTGATGAGTCCAGAGAATGCAGAAGTGTGGTTTCCTAGTGGGTTAGGACTGTAGTATTAATTGAATTTGCAGAGCTAGAAAGTTTTAAATATAATTGAGAGATGGGGGAAGCTGCAAAGTTATCAACAATTAGCAGTGTATGAAAAGAATACAACTCATTACAGTTCCAGAATCTTACATTTCTGTAAGGTATTTATGGCCTATTTTTATGTACTGTTTTCTTAGATTTAACATTTTACGAGTTAAAAAGATTATTTGTGTGAATAAGATGGACAGTGGTGCATGTAAAAAAATACAAGGAGGCTGGATTTGATGGTGTTTTTTCCTCATATTTTTGCTGCTAATCTTTTGTGATGGATCAGGAAATAAATACTTTAAATGTAATTTGTTACTTACAGAAAAGCCTCCAAATTCTTCCACGAAACGTTACAGAGGTATCTCCCTCCCCAAAGTTACCATGCTATATAATATTTTTTCCCTTCTTACACATAAGCATAGGCTCTATTCTTTAACTTGGAACTGCTTCTAGTAAGAAGCAAACCAACCCCAAATGAATTTGTATTCTACTCAGTTTTTGTTCTTATTTTATTATTTTTCCCACCTTCCACTCGCTGTGCTGCTTTTGTCCGGTTTTTGCTTCCTTAGCTTCTAATGTGTTCTTAAGATCTTTCCCTGCTAATAAGATTTAACAATTTAAATCAGTTTTATCATTTCTGAAATTGCTAAGCTGCTCTTGTAGGTTTGTGTGAAAATAAGCTCATCATCCTACTGCCTTCATGTTCATTTTTTCTACTTGGCTTTAATCTCATATTGATATCGGGTGTGTGCTGGTGCTGTCTATTATCTGTCTTTTCTCTGTTTTTTTTAATATTACTGTGCACATGATGAATGTCTTCAGTGGCTTTTCCACAGCAATCTCATTAGGGCTGTTTCTGCTCAGTTGCACAGTTGTTCAAATTATCTATAATTCCTTGCTGGAATTGCTTTCTTTTGGATTTGTGGTACTCAGTTTGTAGTTGACAGTGTTGATATCTGCAAGTCCAGTTGTGCTAAGGATCTACCTGGTTTTTAAGCAAGTTATATGGGTTCCTATTATTTGCTATGCTTCCAATTCGGATTTAATGTAAAATTGGAAGTAGGCTTTATAGAATTACCTCCATCACATTAAATCTTTGTTTCACGTAAACAGCTTGGCACAGAATTGCCTTACAGCAATGAAAAATGTGTATTTCATTTAGCACCTATATCCCTTTTTCAATTTTGAAAATAGTTTGACAGCTTGTTTTATTGTTTTTCTATTTCCACCAAAATCTCTTTGACCTTGATGTCTAAGATCACGTCAGGTGATTGTGGATGTATTTGTATATTACAATAACATAACTAGTTCTGCCTGTTCTCACAAGGCTAATTATTTCTCAGAATTGAGCGTAGGAAATAGTTGGGATAGTTGAGCTTGACTTTACCTAGCCAACTCACTGGCTTCATCTCTGTGCAAGCACACGTGTGGATATGCACACACCATTATATACCAAAGTGAAACACCTTTTTGGTTGCACAGTGAAAATTCTGAATTACTAGAAGGTGAGACCTTGAATGCTTCAGAAATGTTCCATGCTTTGGTTTATCCCAGCTTTTCCGTGCATCCTCCTACTACATAAGTAAAGATGATTTTAACAGCCTCCTGTGAGAATGAGCTCTTGTCAATTGCTGTAAGAGAAGTTAAAGTTCTACACAGCTTGGGCTGTAGCAGCTGGGCATGGTCCTGTGTGAGGGAGGGGCATGCCAGAAGGTGGCAGCAGTTAAGGATAGGGTAAAACATAAAATGTGCGTTCTCTTGGTTATAGCACGAATACAGTCCATTTTCTGAACTGATGTATCGTTGGCCTTTGGAATCAGGCTAGGTTTGGCTGGTGATTTTTGTGATTTTCCACCTTTCCAGATAACCCTGGATGTGTTGGCAGACATGGGACATGAGGAGCTTAAAGAAATAGGGATTAACGCCTATGGCCACCGACACAAATTGATAAAAGGTGTGGAGAGGCTTCTAGGAGGCCAGCAAGGTAAATATGATCTTTTTACTTGTTAGTCTGAGTAGCACAGAACAGGCTCCCAGAAGTCCCCTGCTGTAAATGTAGGCATTGATACCAGGAATTGAAAGAACATGATTGTTTGGAAAACGTGCTCGCTGATGGTGTGGTGGCTTGTGACGGGTAAGGAATATATTGGGTCGATACGGGACTGAGTGACTGCTCATCTTTCCAGAGAACGGACAACCCTGAGGCAGCTGTGGAAGCTGTGCCCATTTGAAGGGGTTGACCAAGGAGGGGGAGCTTTGGGGTTGATTTGCCCTACATGTAGGCCAGCTGTATCCTGATATGTAGGCTTGATGGAGCTCTTTGCTGCCCCACGCTACTTTGGTGCTTCTCTTAAAGCACAAATCACAAAATGTAGTTGTCACACCTGCATTTTCCTTCTCTCTCTGAAGACCCTGCAGCCAATGAAAGCACTTCATCTTTTTAAGGTTATTTTTAGACCTTGTGTTTATTTTGTGCTTCCTGCTTACTGGGGTTGTATAAGCAGAAAAATTGCGATGTTTAATAAAAATAAGTCTGGCTTTATTTTCTCCTGATTATTTTCTTTTTACTTCTCTAATTCCTTCCCTTTGTAGGTACCAATCCGTATTTAACTTTCCACTGCGTGAGTCAGGGGACTATTCTCCTTGACCTTGCACCTGATGATAAGGAGTATCAGTCCGTTGAAGAGGAGGTATTGCAATTATCTTCTTTGGTGGTGGTGCATTTCCTTCGTCACCTAATCCTTAGAGCTAAATCTTGCAACACGCTGAAAGTGATAAAAGTGCTTTGGTGAACTGCACAGATCTGATGTGGAGTTTAGAGCATTTGTTTGTTTCAGTTTATACTGATGATGATTTTTTTTTACTGTTTCCTGCCAGTTTTTTCTTTAAATACATGATTTTGTTTCTCACTTCCTGCTAACCTAATTTTGCCTTGCTGGCATTGTTCTGGATGTCGTCTCATAGCTAGGGCTTACATAGCTTATCAGAGAAAGGTACACCTGTGAAAGGCAAAGGCTATGTGTGGAGACTGGGAGATCAAGGCCGTCCGAATCTGTAGGCATTCTTTTTGCTCAGGCCGTTTCTGCATGTGAACCAGTTTGTTTTCTCTTGTCTCAGTGGTTTAGTTAATCTGTAACTTAGATAAGCTGCTCTTGGATAAGCAGAAATGACTGTAATTTTTCCTCCCACACACATGCTTTTTTGAGTCAACTACAAGCAGTTACCATTTTGAAAGGAAAAACTTAAGAGGAAGGAGACTTTCTTAAGAGTTATGTTTGTAATAAACACTTCATTGTTCTTTCAGCTGCTTGTGTAATGATGTTACTTTGTAGCACAGAAAGTCTTGGTACTCAGGGTTGCTGCCAGCACCTTGGAATATTTTTTATTAGTAACTCTGCAAACTGGAGTTTGTGCAGATTTTTTGTGTAACCATGTCTGACAGAAAGAGTCACTTGTTTACTAGAGTATATTGGGATGTTTATTTGAGTTGTTACTAAATGTTGGTGCTGTGGTTATAAATACCACTGGAAAAAAAAACTGTTAAAATTGTTGAAATTCTGAGAACCTTCTAATGCCGTAAGAAAACTTAGTGTAAGCATTTTCATATCACTAAGAAAATACAGGCTATAGTCATTAGAAATACTTTTGTTATTACTTCAAAATGATCTTTTTGTTTGAGCTACTTTTTATTTTTTTCTAATCTGAAGTGGGTCTTCCAATAGTCTGATGTTGACAGCAAGTGCCAATCCTCTTCCCTATGTAGGTTTTTATTATAAGATTGAGTAATTGCAACATTCAGTTTCTCAAACGGTATTGTAAAGCTGAATAGTGTGTTGGGTGCCTGAAGAAAAGTATATATCTCAATTTAAAATTGACTTTTTTTTGGCACCTTTTAGTTAATTTTCAACCCAGATTCTGTTGCTGTCTGTGATGTATTAAGATAGATACTGCATGATTACTTTTCCTTACTAACAAGTTTTATGTGCTGAACATTCTGTTGTGTTCATTTATGTAGATGCAAAGTACAATCCGGGAGCACAGAGATGGTGGAAATGCTGGTGGGATCTTCAACAGGTATAATGTCATCAGGGTAAGTTTCAAAGCCTTGTAGTTCTATGTAGTAAAATAAGTTGGTATTTATGCAAGCACACAATTCATTTAACAGATCAACCTTTTAAACTTAGAGGTCTTTGTCGGTATGATAATCAGTTACAGTGTTAAAGCAAGCACTGAGTACTAAATTATACTGATTGTGTGCTTGGCATATGGAGTGAGGAAGAAGTGTCCACTTGTGCTTTTAAAGAAGTCTAAAGAAGTCATGGAATAGTTTGAGTTGGGAGGGACTTTAGAGCCCATCCACTTTCAATGCCCTGCCATGGGCAAGGCTGCCCCAACCAGATAGTGAACATTAAACCTAAACCTTCAGAAAGCTAGCCCTGTTCAAGAGAGGCCAAAGCAGGGAGGGAAGGAGTTTCAGACAGTCTGTAGTTCCTGATGGTATTACCCACTGTGAGGGGTGAAGCCTGAAAGCTTGCCTTAAACCCAAGAACTTAAGCTGTAATTCACAATATATGTGAACATTTTGAAGCATGTGTTGCTGACTTGGTTATAAGGGCATGTTCAGAAGGGGCATGGTTTTTCTTGGTTTGTGGGGTTTTTTGTACCATTTGTGCATCTTGCTGTGCTTCTCTGTAGAATTTCTGCAAACTTTTTTGAAACCATATCTCACTTATTTTGAGTTGCATACTTAATGCTTGTTGTTCCACTGCAGATTCAAAAGGTTGTGAATAAGAAGTTGCGGGAGAGATTCTGTCACAGACAGAAGGAGGTCTCAGAAGAGAATCATAACCACCACAATGAGCGCATGTTGTTTCATGGTAATGAAGTGGTAACTGTTTGTATATACTGGTATTTAAAAAAGGGAAACCAGAAGCACACAGGAGCCCATAGACGTTGTTAGTGTGGTTTTCACCATCCTGTACAATAGTTGTATTTCTATGCTAAAAATGCATGGGTGTGGGGGTGGTGAGGGTATTCTATGCAATTCATAAAGCTCCACTAGGTACAAAATACATTTATAAAATGCTGTATCTCAGCCATTGCCATTAAAACTGATGGTAACTACTGGGAGGACTGTACACTGCTGTGAGAAATGCAAGTTATCCTCTGAAAAAGGGGAGCAGCATGTAGTAAAAAGCATTTTTCCCTGGCACTTCAGGTAACCGTGAGGGAAAGGAATCAAAACTAACCATGAACTTAAGCAGGATGTTCTCCAGAAGCATCCAGAAGTGCCTGCAAATGACAACTGTCTAATGCAAATGACTCCTGCCCTAGCACCTTCTATGATTCTGTGTAGGAAATTGGTTTAGGGTATGATTGTCCCGATAAATTTGCCCTTTGTTAGGGAGTACTAACTGCTTAAGAAAGTGTGCACTGACAAGATAAATTGTGTTGAAATGTGAGGAGGGGGGCGGGAAGGCCACTTAATGAGATCTGTAACTGAGTAAGATGTGAGTCACACGTGGGATTTTGTTGGTATAGAATGATAAATCCCACACATCACTGCATCCTGCTGGGTATCGCCCCCTTCCAGCTGACTGAGCACACTTTTTGGTATTTAATGACCTATCTAAGGCAGAAAAAGCTCCTCTTGACATAAAGCCCAGAATTACTACAGGTCTTAACAACTGTGATAACACATCTTTTTGTCTTTTCTAGGGTCTCCTTTTATTAATGCTATCATTCACAAAGGATTTGATGAAAGGCATGCATACATTGGAGGAATGTTTGGAGCTGGAATTTACTTTGCAGAGAACTCTTCAAAGAGCAACCAATATGTGTATGGGATAGGAGGAGGAACAGGCTGTCCCACACACAAAGACAGGTCCTGTTACATCTGCCACAGGTATGTCTCCAGCAGATTTCCCTGTAGGTATAACTGCAGCTGTCCTGGTTTTTATGACCCAGGCACAGGATGAATTGTGGGGAAAAAATAGCCACTTAAGTTTGGTGATGGTGGGGAAAATGCACTTTTTCCATTTGTTGGGGCTGAACAGAAATGGACATAAATGTGAGTCCCACAGAAAGGTCAAAGTGGGTATAAATCAAAGTGAGTGGTGGCTCAGGAAAGAGACTTGAAATAGCAAGTTTGAAAATGAAGAGTCAGGCAAAAAAAGCAATTAAACTCCAGGCAATCTTAGAACAAAACTGCACTGCTAAGTGGTGATCAGCAGTACAGTTTGGTCCTACAGATCAGATAATTTTGGAGGTAGTGAACAGGACTTAATCACAGCTTTGTTTTGTACTGAAGTAGATCTATGTGCTTTTCATGCTTTGACACTCACCCTGCTGGTTGGAACACAAAGAGTTTCAGCTTTGTACAACAGCTTTATAGAAAATGGACTAGAGCAGGCCTCCGTACAACAGCTATACAAAGCATGTGTTTTCCCTTCTGAATGTCAAGAAAAGAAGGAATTTTTAGACACAGCTTTAGAACTGGTTTCTAAAACTGCTTCTCCAAAAACTTTTGAGAAATTAATTATAGCAAACAGAAGTCTGAAATCATTCTGGAAGCTTACATCTCTCAGACACGGTGTTTCTCTTTTCTTTTTAGACAAATGCTTTTCTGCAGAGTGACCCTTGGAAAATCCTTTCTCCAGTTCAGTACCATGAAGATGGCACACGCCCCTCCAGGACACCATTCAGTTATTGGCAGGCCAAGTGTGAATGGACTTGCATACGCTGAATATGTTATCTATAGAGGAGAACAGGTAGGTGGCTAGTGACGACGAGCAGAGCTTGGAGTTTCAGAAGGGATATAAATGATTTCCACTCCAGGTGTGCTGTCTTGATTTTTTTTCACTTAATTGTAAAAATAAACAGTAAACTGTATAGAGGCAGGAAATGCTGCTCCTTTCCACGGAGCTTCTCTGATCTACATTGTGGAAAATGGCCTCATTCCTCCTCTGTGGCACTGAGAAGAGCCTATTAAGAGATGTAGTTTTCATGAGTATGTGCTGTTTTTCCCACTGCATTTAAGTGACATTACTGCAGTAACAAGAACACGTGCGTTTCTGAGGCTTTATAGATAATGAGTATTCTGAGCTTTTTACCTGTGGATTCCCAGCTATGGCAATGTCCCTGTCTCCCCTTATGGCAACAGAAGTAGCACAGCAGTCTTCAGGAGCTGATTTTTATTCTGAGTAACTCAGCAGAGGCTCTTAGCCTAGAAGAATGTTTTGCTCACTGCCTTGGATGATTCAAAGATTACAAAATCAAGTTGGAAAAAACCTTGGGTAGCCATCTAAAGCAACCTCTTGTTTACCCTTGCTTGCACACCAGATTGCTGAGGGCTTTGACCAGGTAGGACATGAAAGAGAATAATGTTTCAGAGTTTCTCTCAGTAGCTTGTTCCTCTGCTTAATTATCCTCAGAGCAGAAAATACGTGCTTTGTATCCTATAAGAACCTTCCCTGGATTTGTTAATCTCATTCAGCTACTTGAAATCTGCTTTTTCCTTTGCACTCCTTAACACAGAGCTGATTCTTGCATTGTCCTTCCTGGTCATCATTTGAAATCCAAAATGTGAAGTTACTGAGTGTGCCCTTCTGTAAAACAGTCTTTTTTTCTTGTCTTTTAGGCATACCCAGAATATCTTATTACATACCAGATTGTGAAACCAGAAGCTCCCTCACAGACAGGAACAGCAGCAGAGCAAAAGACCTAGTAGCTACAGAGCAGTGAAGAAGGATGTGACTTCAATCTTGGACTGGGTGGATATGTGTTCGGGATATCAGTATCATATAAAATTCGTAATCTGGAAATAAACTGTATGTCTTTTATAAAGCATTGCTGTCTTGATGAATATGATAAGAGTAACTCTTGCATACTCAACTGCTATATTGTTCCTTTTGAGGAAGGTTTACAAGAGACTGCCTTTTAATAATGCATCTCAGGCTCTTAGTCTCTACCATTACCATGTGCAAAATAATGTTGTTTTGATCTAGACTTTGGGAACATTGTGCAAACAAATCTTTATCAAGGCCATCTCACATGTTAAAATTTCAGACACTACTGTTCTGCTTACTTTATTTGCAGATAAACTGCATTAAGTCCATACTTTTCCTTTCAGCATGCAGCATTCATTTTATCTTTTCAGAAAGTCTCAGTCAGCTATTTATTTTCCTTTTGTATTCTGGAGTTGAGCCAGAACCTACTTAAAGATATTTTGCACAAAGTCAAGTTGACTAAAACCATTAACAATGCAATATCAAATTCATCTGAGAAGGGGCTAGGTCCAGTTCTTCAAGATAGGGTTTTTTTTTGCACACCTCTGAGCAAACGATACTAATATGTGAGTGTTACTTTAGAGTGGAAACAAATCACGTTTCGGTTTGCTGAGTTGTCTGCATGAGTTTTCTGGGGAAACCCAACAGAAGTGTCAAACCAGCTCTTGTGTTTGAAAGGACTTGATACAGCAGGTCAATGTCCTCTGCTGATATCTCTAAAAGAACATTTTACAAGGCTGCTATCAAGTGTGTGCAGTTTGTGAAATGTTCTCCCCTAACAGTGGCATACGGTTTTGTTGGGAGATAGTTGAAAAGTCAGAAGACCACACGTGCAAGGATGTATCTGGGTCACATCCCTCTATATGAGACACAGAAGATGGTTTTCAGACTGGTAAAGAAGAATGTGTTACAGCAGTTTTGTGTCACATCTGTTTGACATCAGGGTTGTTGAACAGCTTAAATGGTTTACAAAAATAATTTTTTAAAATATGAGTTTTACATCTTTATGAGGAAAACTTTTGTAAAAAGATCAGTTGGGAAGTCAATTTGCTTGCAGGTATACCAGAGGACAGAGCTGGGATGTACTCATCACCCTAACCCCCTTCCATGCAAGTTCCTGGGTTTATTTTGCTGCATAGGAGAAAGTTATATTTCAGCATTGCATAGCACAGCATCAGACAACTTCTGAAGTCTCCCTCATGAACGATACAGATTTAACAAAAGTATAATTTCTTTTTTTTTTTTGAGTTGGTTTTACAACTTCAGAAAAGGTGAAAATCAAGCCATTATTAGTTGTTTTGGTTTTGTTTTTAAACCATCAATATGAGATGTTTTCCAGCATCGAGCACACAATGGCTGGAGGTAAAATGTTCCTTTGAACAGGCTGTCTGTTTCCCTATCGACCGGCACTGCTGAGTAACTGATGATCCAGTTCATGCATTCCAGCTTTATCACTCTAAGTGAGGGAATGACACAATACTATGCTTTCAGTTTATAAAAACATGTACTCCCTGCCAGTGGGGTTTGCTCGGGGTGTTTGGACAAAACAGAGTTTTCACTTTCAGCTTTAAGACACAGAATTTTCATTTCTAGCATTAAAACTTCAGTGTTGAAGCAAGTTATCCTCCTGGAGGAATTGCACCCATTGTAAAATCAGTCATCTGATGCGGTCTGGCTGCCTGCACATCCACTCTGTAATATCTATAAAGAAAACCTTAGAAATAGCAATACTGCAGCAGATCTTGAGCTTTGGGTTTTATTTCTCTCAAGCTGGCACTGGATCTATGGCTTGCACTTCATTTTGTCACCTGATGAAGTAATCAGCTTTGCAGACCAAGCCAGGCTCTGGCCTAGTTGTCCTTTTAATCAGACGTCATTGACACAGTCGGGTGCTTGTATTTTGGCTACTTGTTTAGTAGTGTTAGGATTGCAGAGATCACCACTAGGCTTTGAAGTTTTGTATTCATCATTTAAGTTTGGGGTTTGTTTTTAATTTAGTTAAGAATGGAATAGGGGATGTGCCTATCTACACTAGGGTTTCAGATAGTGATGAGAGTGAATGTGGCTCGCCATCCCATTAGACATAGATTTCAGTGATTAAAAAAATGAATTGTGCTGCATAGATGAGCAAAATGGTTAATGTGTGTGTGGAAGTTGAAAGCTTTACATCTTTGAAAAACAAGAACAAACCTAAAAACAAAACCCCACCAGGCCCGCACCAGATTTTGTTCTTGCTTGTTGTTTCCTGTGTGCTAATGGAACAAAATCTGGGTTTCTTCAGGAGCTGTGAAGTTCTGGAGTACGAAAATACAGTGTTCGGTATCTTGAAACTCCCCATGTTACGTATCTGATGTTCTGTGCAGAGTAAAGGTGCTGTGTGAAGAAATCATTTTGCAGTGGCTTTTGTCTCATAACGGTCTCATGCCATGTTGGTGACATGGCCAGCACAGAGGGACACTGCAGTCTGGTGGGCTGTGCAGACCAGCATGTGCCTCTGCTGGCTGAAGGTGTGTGTGTGTGTGTGTGTGTGTCCTCTTGTGGCTGAAAACAAGATGAGGATCTTCCCATCAGTGTCTGTTACCTATGGAAAAGCTGGTGGTGGTTGAGCTGCTGCTGACATTGTTTGGTTTGCAGTAGAGTTGCTGCTGCTTTAGCTGAGGGAGTTGTAAGAGCTCCTAGTTGCAGAAAGTGGATTTGCCAGGGTGCCTCGTCCTGAGCAGGGCTGTCCCCTGGTGATGGGATGCTTGTATGCAGCACTGTGTCACCAATAGAGGCATGATAGAAGCGAGGATGCAGGAAGGTGCTGGGCTAAGCCAGGTTTGGGAGCCTGGCACCTCTCAGTGGCTCCAGGCCGAGCCGTTCCCTGTGGGATTAATGTGGTGCCTTGCAGGGGAGGGGATGGCAGTTGTCCTGAGCCGGTGCCTTTTACTCTTAGAGGAGTGCTTTGAAACAGCTGTGATAGGGCCTCAGTGAGCAGACAGTGAGCAGCCTTCACCAAGTCTGAACCGGGAGGTTCTGGCTCTCCAGGGCTTAGGTTATATCCATGACACAGGGTGGCATTGCAGTCTGAACGCTGTCAGCAAAACTTGTCAGAATTAAAACCAGAGTACAGCATCTCAGCGTGGTACATCCTTCTTTCTCTTCCTTACTTCTCTCCGCCAATCTTTGATCCCAGCTCCATGAAAACTGCTGCAGACTGTTCTACTGGTTTGGTAGTTTTCCAGCCGCTACTGCTCTGTAGTCAAAGAATGAGGATCATTTTTTTCTAACCTCTGTTCTGAGCATTTGCAGGTGATGCGATGAAATCCCACCGTGTTGTGCAGCAGGAATTTCCTAACCTGCAAACTCTTCTACCAATTTTCTTTTCCGAAGATGGGGAAAAAGAAAGGTTCCCAAGCTCAAAGTAAGCAGATGAGTTATGAACACTGTGATTGTTCTCTGAAGCAAAAAGTCAGGAAGCGTGTGAATTTATTCTTAATGTAATTTCACCAATCCCATGCTTCCTGACCCTAGAAAATCTAACTGATATCAAAAAGAATGTGTGCCTGGTGTGTGTTTCAGTCATTTCAAGCTAAGCTGCCACACTCCTGGGTAGGACGGGGAAGTACAGATTCAGTTTAGCCCTGGGTACCAACTGATGTGGGAACCTATGGACTGGAACCTGCTGATGGTCAGAGGTGCTTTGGGTACAGGGGAGAGCTCATTGCCTGCAACCTGTGGGGGTCAGGGCAGTGCTTGTGAGCACTGCTGTAGGAAGGTGAGTGAGTCAGCAGGGAGCAAGAGGAGCCCATGCGTTGCGGTGAAATGAACGCATGCGCCCATCAGGCTGTATTAGCAGACTGGTTTTGATCTATCTAGTTCTGTCATACTGAGCCTATTGGTGGCAATTTTTAGTGTTGGTTCCGTTGTGCTGATGACTAATGTAGTTTGATTAGAGTAACTGTATTACAAGGTAATTTTGGCACTGTTTCTTCTTAACATCTGCGGAACTTGCTTCAGCTTTGGAAATCGAAGTGGGGATTTCTGTGCCACAGTCCTGTGAGCTTGTGCACCTCCATTTCTGATTGCTTGCTCTGCCACCCCAAACAGCGATGTACCTGGGGTTGAGTTTTTAGACTTTTATATAACTTGTCTTCACAGCTAGTCCTTTGTTCCTCTCTTGGTGGCTGACCACCTGGAGTTGGGATAGCATTTATTTATTTCTTCCTTTACCCTCTCTGTAAAAGAAGATGATGGGCAGGTTCTCAGCCTATCTACATGGTGGACTTTAGGTAACATTGTTGTAACAACCAATTTTGATCTATAAATGTGCTTGGCTAAATGTCTGATCTGCAATACTTGTAATAGTTTAAAACTCAATAAATACATTTTTAACAGTTGCTCTGTAAAAGCTGAGTGTTTGCACCACCTGTTGTTGGGGAGAGAGGCTGTGGATGCCCCATCGCTGGTGGTGCTCAAAGCCAGGTTGGATGGGGCACTGGGCAGCCTGATGTGATAAGGGGGACAACCAGCCCAGGGCAGAGGATTGAAATTAGGTGGGCTTTGAGTTTCCTTCCAACCCAAGCCATTCTATGATTCTCTGGGCCCCCAGACAAACCTGATCTCAGCCACAACTGCTGAAAAGTGTTTTATTATTATTTTTTCCAAACAATTTTTCTCCCTCGGGCAATAAATAAAAAGTTGATTTCTAAAAAAAAAAAAAAATAATAATAAAAGGAACAAAACCATACATATGTACATCAGCCACACAGGCATTTTGTCTTGGTGTGGGCTGGGAAGATGGAGAGTGGTAAAGCTACACAGGGATTGGGGATGAAGCATTTTCTGGGCTTGAGCCTAAGGCTGCAGTGCAGGTGCCTGGGTGTGTGGGACCTTGCAGCCCAGTGCAGGTGGGTGAATGCTCTGCAGAGCCCAGGTAGTGGCAGATGCTGGTCCTGGAGTGCAGAAAGTGAAATGGAGGACACCTCTGCACCTCTTCTTCCCCTACTGCTTCTCTCCACATCACAGTCCAGCCCTGTCCTACCATGCTTCTTTGGGAAGAGCAGCTATAGGATCGTAGGGAGGGAACAGGTCAAGAGTAATCAGCAGCCTGTATTGCTGTCCTTACCCCTTCTTTCTCTTCTTTAAACTACAGGAGGTTTGGCACAAGTTTTATGGCAACTGGGGAGATTTAAAGACACAGGTACATATATACATACACACACACACACACAAAAGCATCACTTAGGATTGCATCTCTCCATCCATGCTGCCTCCCAGCCAGGGGCTGCTGTCCCCCAGCTGCCAGCACAGCAGTTGACCTGAAGCTCCCTGCAATCACCCTGAAGCCCTGCTGCAGCATTGCTGGTCACTGTGACTGGCTCAGGTACGCAGCACCTACTGCACTCACCAGTTGTCCCTCTGTGCAAAGGGGGGAAAGTGCTGTGCAACAGAAATATCTTATACTCCCTTTTCAACCCAAGTCAACACCCAAATGAACTGGGGGCAGAAACAGGATGGGAGGGGAGGGGGATTTTTGTTTTTTTTTTTCTTCCTGAAAAACAAGATAATAAAGTAGAGATGGGAAGAGATGCAGACCAGGCACTTCAGGAAACCCAGTACACTATTTCCCCCCCCCCCCTTAAAACAGAGCCTGGACAACATCGAGGTTTGTGGCTTTCACAACATAAAAAGCAAAAAAAAAAAGTACGAGATGAGGTAAGAAATTGCTCTACGAAAAAGACATTGAGTCCAGGGTCAATGGCAGTGTCCGGCACTATTGCTTAACATCCTGGGGCTCTGTGCCCCTGTGTGCTACCTGCCTGGCTGGCCTTAGCCCCAAGCTAACAGCTGGGTGACGTGGTGATGGGGCTGTGCAGGTATGGGAGGCTGCTGGGGGTGGCATGGACACCAACAGAGACAGGGAAGCTGAAGACAAACTGGGAGGTAGGGGTAGAAGTGGTCTTGCCCCGCTCCCGCAGTGTCCCTGAGGGGCTGGCAGCTTCCACTGCGCACGAGGTGGCCAAGACCTGCGATTCGAACTGCAGCAGCTGCCCCATGAAGCTGAAGTTAGGAGAGATGATGCTCCGGCGCTGCTTGACAAACTCGAAGGCCTCTTCCAGCTTAACGCGCTTCTTCATCATCAGGTAGGCCAGGCAGATGGTGGCTGAGCGGGAGATGCCGGCCTGGCAGTGGACAAGGACTCGGCCACAGCACTCTTTCACCGAGTCTGGAGGGGCAATAGAGAGTGGCACGTGAGACCTTCACCCTTCCAAGGAGGCCCAGCCCTTGGCCAACCCGCCAGATGATGGCTGACATCACACCCACGCATGGCTTGGAAGGGACCTCAGAGTCTGCCTGTGCCCAACCCCCTGCCGTGGGCTGGTTGCCACCCACATCAGGCAGCCCAGGGCTCATCTGACCTGGCCTTGAGCGCCTCCAGGGATGGAGTCTAAAGCTACAGGCCTTGGGACCTAACTCGTGACCTCCTCCAGCTGTGTGCAAACTACAGCCTAGCTTCTCCAAATGGGCACTCACCAATGTACTCAATTGCCTCCATGAACCAGGAGCTTATGTCAGCTTTGTGGTTGTCTTCCACGGGGATGCACTTATACTGGTAGTGCCCCTCAAAGTGGTTGGGGCAGTCGGATGAAACGTTCAGCAGGGCTGTGATGCCCAGTGCATCCAGCATGTCCCGCCGTGCCGCATGGTAGGCGCTGCCAAGGTAGAGAAAGGGAAGGATTTCCACAGGGCCACCCTGTGATTGATGGAGAAAAAACAGATTATGAGCACAGAACTGGATAACTTTACAGGCCCAAGGAAGACTTGAGGAGGGGCAGCAGGAAGGCCATGTTGCAAAGTGGACCTACCTGGTCATGAAGGGGTGTCCCACATGAACTGAAGCCCAAATCCAGGGACTCAGTGCTGCTGGGGGGCGAAACGCTGCTCAGGGTCTTGGTTTTAGCGCAGAATTCAGGATACTCTGAGGCAAAACGCTCGTAACCTCCTGTAAGAACAGAGGCCCGGAGGAGTCTCCAGTTACAGCCATGCTCACAGTGCTGCAGGACAGCTGGAGCCAATGTATTCCGACGTGCCCTTGGCCACTAGATGATGCTACAGGGATGGAGAGCAGCCTGCTGCCCTGAGGGGAGCAACCAGGCTCCTGGCAGCAAGTGGGGAGCTCCTGGGCTGGGCCATTCCCATGGGCCACAGCTCTCCAATTCTTCTAGCTGCCCAAAGCCTCTGCTCTAGGACATAGCCAGCCAAAACCTAAGGCTGAGGCCAAGGTTATAGTCCAAGACAATAGAGAGAGGGTTTGTTGCCAGTGACCTGCAACTCCAATGCCTTCCTGCACCACGGACTGTTCAGTTCTTTATTTTCTCAGACACAAAATGCAGAGATTCCCTCAATCCCAGTGCCCAAAGGGCAAAAGGCAGGAGGCCCTAGAAGTTAACCCACAGCAAAGACACTCTGCAGAGAGCTGTCCCTGCCTCCCAAGGACACGGGGTGGGTTGAACAGAGAGGTGAGTGCCTGTGGAAGAGCTGCTCGCTGTTTTGAGCAGCTGCCAAGGAGATATTGGAGGTGACCTTGTGCCTCCCCACGAGGAAGATCCAACAGAGCTGCCACCTGTTGACTTCCCAGGACAGCAGATAAACACCTCCGGGCAAATTTCCTGTCCTCACTCAAATCAAATCAACAAGACTGACATCCTTGTTGGCTGATGTAGAGCCTTAAAGCCAACAGAAGTCAGGGATTTCACTATTGCCACAAATCTAGCCAGATGGAGCCCTGTCTCCCAGGAGAGCTGCTGAAGATTCATCCCAGTGCAGGACTGCTGCTCACCAACCTGAACCTGGCAGAGCACACGCTGCAGGACACATTCCTTATACCAGCTGTAGCTCTAAGTTGACACTGAACAAGATTGAATGTTCCCAAGAGCAATGGAAATGAGAACTCTGGCTCTCAAGTGGATGCAAGCTTATCTGACAAAGCACCTCAGGAGCCCCTCGGCAGCTGGAGACTGATTCACCATCTCAACGTCCTTTATGGTTTTCTTCCCTTCCACAAGGAAAGATTCCAGCCCCTTCCACAGGAAAACATATACACCAGTAAACGTGCATCACCTCTCTCACACAAAAAGGTCAGTTTGCAGAGGCTGCATTTCCAGAACCTGAAAGCCTTTTGCAGTCCTGCTTGCTGAATTTGGAGGAACACCCAAAACACTGACGTGCTGGTTAGACATTCTGATCTCCCTGATCCCACCTTCATGGTCATCACACCATCACAAACTGTGGATGCCCCATCCCTGGAGGTGCTCAGGGCCAGGCTGGATGGGGTCCCAGGTAGCCTGAGCTGGTGGGAGGCAACCAGCCTACAGCAGCAGGTTGGAAGCTTTAAGGTCCCCTCCAACCCAAGCCATTCTGTGATTCTATAAGATGGGAAAGCTGCCCAGGGTCATGTGGAAAAATGAGTTTCCTCCTGGGAAAGGCAAAGTGACCCTTCCAACAGGTAAGATTTCTCTTCAGTGTTCCTCATCAGACTGAAGGGCTGTTTAGCAAAGTGCTACCCAGTAAATTTACCTTTGGACACACACAGTGCCAGATTTATATGACTCTTACAAAACTGGAGCAAGCTGGAACTTTTCAGCATTTCTATGGGAAGCAAGCAGGAGGCTTCTAGTGTTAGGGCTGAGACTCTAAGAGCCCATACCTCAAAATAATTGAAATCTCACTCTTAGAAATAAGGGATTACTAACCCCAAACAACCCTGCTTGAGAACCACAGGGACATCACAGAACCACAGAATGGCTTAAGTTGCAAGGGATCTCAGAGCCCATCCAGTTCAAATGCCCTGCCAGGGGCTGGCTGTCATTCACTGTGTCAGGCTGCCCAGGACCCTCCCAAGCGCTTTCAGCTCTCAGCAAAGCGACAGCTCACGGTTGAACACCCAAAGCAGGTTCCCAATGAGCCCTCACTGTGCTCTTGCTCCATCCATCAAAACCTCCTAAGGTTTGCTGCTCTGCGCACATGCGTTCACCACTGCTGTGAGTAAACCATGAAACAGACTCGCTCTCAGGGAGTCAGAATCAAACCTTTCTTCTACAGAACATCGCAAGGATCCTCCAGCCCAGCAGCCCTGTTTGCTCACAGCCTCCCACGCAAAGAGCAAGAAAGAATAGAATCATTAAGGTTAGAAAGACATCTAAGATCGTCCAGTCCAACCCGCAGCCCATTCCCACCATGCTCAATGACCGTGTTCCTCAGTGCCACATCGCCACATTTCTTGAACACCTCCAGGGACGGTGACTACACCACCTCCTTGGGCAGCCTGTGCCAACGCGTCACCGCTCCTCGGAAGAATGAATTTCTCCTAACACCCACCCTGACCCTCAGCACCGACTCTCGCCGCAGAAGCACCGAGGCCTCCCGGAGCCTTCCCCACGGCGAGGGGACGCGCAAAGGGCCCGTCTGGCCCCGGGGACAGAGCCGCACGGCTGGAAGGGGGCGGCCTCCCCCTCCGCGCCGATCCCCTCGTTCCCCCCCCCCTCCCCGTTTACCTGCCAGCAGCCGGATGTCGGCGCGCGCCATGTCGCGCCGGAGCGCGCGCAGCACGAGGGCCACGGTGCTGTCGTCCCGCAGGGCCTCCGCGCGTGGGCTGCGCTCGTCGTACAGCACCACGGCGGTGTAGAGCCCGGCGCGCAGCCGCGCCCGCACCTCGCCCTCGGCCGGCAGGATCTGCTCCAGGCTGACGGCCCCCTTGGCCCGCCGCCTGACGATGGTGTTGCAGCGCACGTTGAGAGCCCCGCGGATGTGGCCGGCGCTGTGCGCCAGGAAGGGCCGGCAGTCCAGCAGCAGGCAGCGCCCGCCGCTCGCCTCCTCCCGTCCCACCAGACGCCGCAGCGCGCTGCCCTCCATCTCCCGCAGCCCCTCCGGGGCCACCATGGCGGGGCCGCCTTTCCCCGCTCCGCGCTCCGGCCGCCGCTCGCAGCCCCGCGCCGCCCCAACCTTTACTACCCCGCCGCGCCGCCCCGCCCCTCCGGCTCGCGCCGCGGGAATGAATGGAGGGAAGGCGGCGCGCGGGCGCGGCCGACGTCACCGCCTCCATTCACAAAAAAGGGCTCGCCGCCGGCCCGCCATCTTCGCTGCGTTTTTGTGAATGGGGAAAGGCGGCGGGAGGGCGGGCGTTGCGGGGAGCCGCGCTGCGAGCGGGAGGCGGCCCCGGTTTGCGAGGGGGGTCGCCCCGTGGGTCCCCCCCACCTTGGTGGGTCACTCTCACGTGGCACGCGCGCACACACGCGCACACACAAACCGACCAACCTGCCTCCTCAGGGCACGCGCTCATGCTCGTGCTCCTTCTCCCTTTGTCCTTTAGCGCGTGTTGCTCTCGGCACGGTTCCCGCTGAGGGCTCCCCCTGAGCGCAGCTCTGCCGCCAGCGCGCTTCCCTCCCCGTCAGAAAGTGACGGTGAAATAGCAGCCGTCCAGGAAGCACAGCTGTGAGGGCTCTCTGGATCCATTTCTCTTAGGGGGGAGCCCTATTGTAGGGAAAAAGAAGCAAATTTCCAGCCCTGAGGTGACGCTAAGGGGACCTCCTAAGCATCGCACGGCCATTTTGCTCACAATACCCCTTTGAGGCTGCTCACCCCACAGAGCAATGCTGCAAAACCCAATTTCAAGCCATGGTCGGAGCACTTCCTGAAAGGAGACACTACCAGGCCGTGGCGGTCTGCTCCAGAGGGCATCCGAAGATGCCCATGTGCCTCAGAAATGGGGTGAGCCAGGTGAAGGGCCTGCAGTTCCTCCAAGCCCATCTGCCCCAGTCCATAGAGGGCAGCACCCAGACAGAAACAGCCTGCTCCTCCTCTGCATGCCAGTGACTATTATTCGGGCAGGGCAAATGATACCATGCTGTGCATCCCTACCTGGGATGAACCTAGCCTACTGCACGTGTTGGAAGCTGGAAGCTTCAAACTGGTACCAACCCCATGGCCTGGTGCTGCCTCTTACTTACAGTGTGTCCTCTGCCAGGTATCCCCCTCTGTGTGTGCCCGCCCATGGCTCTCAGGTGCTGTGTCAGCCCTTCTCCAGCAAGCTGCCCCAACCCACTGGAGCCTGCTATCTAATAGAGCAGGGATGGGAGCTCAGTTTGCTTCTGTTCCAACCTGCATCACACACATGGAAAGAAGAAACCTCTTCCTACCAAATCCTCAGCAAGCATTCTTCTTTATACTAACATTGCCTAACTAAGGGCACAGAGCAGATGTCCTTGGAGCCAGAGCCCGACGTCCCGGTTTTTTCCATGCAGCTGAGCCCAACTCTGAGATGAGAGAGAAAGGGAGCATTGGCACAGGAGGGGGGAATTGGATCTGCCCATCTCTGGATGTTCACATGAGCATCAATGGAAGGTACTGTTTCAGAACAGAGCAATGATATGTGTGCACGTGCATGGGTGTCTGATGGAGATCCACGTCTCAGGCATCTCCCTTGCTGCAATTAGCTTGAGAGGAAATCTAGTTAATTAACTTTGTCTGTGGAGGCACTGCAGTGGGACAAGCAAGAACCATCAGAAAAGCTTGTGAGGCAGAAAGCACGGTGAAAGAGAAGGAATGCAATTACCTGAGGAAAGGGGAAGGGAGGACTTGAGGAAAGGGGGAGGAAGGGGGGGGGGGAAGTCCACACAGCTTCATTTCCTGACTTTGCAACCTTGGAGGAGTGTGAAAGCTCATATTCCTGGCAAAAGACATCCATATGGTGCAAACTGAAACATACCCTGCTGGAAAACAATGAGAGAGGGGAAAAGAGGGGAGAGAGAAAAGGAAGAGGGAGGAGGGAGAAAAGAGAAGGGAGAGGAGAGAGGGGAGAGGGAAAAGGGGAGGGATTCCTTCATTTCCTTCCCAGCAGATTCAAAGAATCACCTTTTACAGGGCCCCAGCCAGAAGAGATTGTGGAAGGAGGCTCGAGGGAAATGAATTGTCAAAGAGGCATATATTTGGATGATTAAATGTCAATATGTACCTCGAATTAAGGACGAGGAATTTACACCTTGTCTCACCATGCCAGCAAAAAACAAATTAGAGGCAGGCTGTAAATTTGCCAGCCAATTGATACCGATTTGTTTGGCTTTCTCAGCGCTTTTCCTGCTCAGAGAGATGCAGAGATGTGATTCCCCAGGTGGCCCCAGGCTCCATGGCTCTCCCCAGGCTCCTGACCCAGTGGGGTCCTGGGCTGCTGCTTCACGCCTCGCGTCTCAGCTCTCTTTGGTCCTCATGCAGCACTGTGCTGGGCTCATTCCAGGGCATCTCTCTTTCCTGCAACTTTTTCAGGTGGGGAGATCTTCCTCCCGTCAGCAAAGGGCAGTGCAGCAGTGGAAGAGTTAATGGAGTCATGTTCATAAATCCACGCACTCTTTTTCTTTAGGGCATATTTGCATATTAATGGAGGGGAATTGTAATGAACCTGTCTAGGGAGGCTAAAGGGAAAATGATGCAAGGTTGGACAAGGAGGTGGAGGAGGGGATAATTCTCATTTCCAGTGCTTTCCTCTCTCTCAGCTGCGAAAACACCGAGCTGCCTGAGCCTTGCTGCCTGTGGGATAACCAGGGTCTGAGGGAGCAGCTGAGCACAGGTCACCATGCAGCCCCACTTGCACCCCTCTGTGCTGGCACTGGGTGGATTTGCCCAGCCCAGGTCGTGCCTGCTGCATGGCCCTGCTTTTATTGAAACGCAGATCTGCAGATGTCAGCAAGCATGTCACAAATCATCCCCCCTCCTCCTATCCCTTCTCCTCCACACTGGCTGCAAAGAGCTGCTCAAAGTACCATGACCTTTGTTGCCTCAGCCCCCAAGTAATAGCCCTAAAACCTCTGACAGCACTTGGAAAACACCAGGTCTGCTTTCTCTGCTCTCTGTCAATACTGATGTTTATAATCCCCACTCCAGCAAACATTACCTCAGGAAGGACAAGCACCCTCACGCTTGCCCTGCAATAGCTGATGGAGGGTTTATATTCACAGAGAAATCAACTGTAAATCAAGCAAAGACGAGATGAATTACTGTGCTCCTGATCTGATATAGATGAGGAGATCGACAAAGCAACATTCATGGCTGAGAGCAAAGGAACCCTTCTTACAGCAGTGGGGTTTGCAGCTGGTTTGTGCCCATGCAAATCTGATCAGGGCAGGACACACTCAAATGAGCTGGATGCAAAGTGGCCCGGGCCATTTTCTGCTTCAGGTTTGGTTTCCTCTCTCCCTGCTGCCTTTTGCTGCTGCCTCCTCCCTTCCTGCCAAAGTCCATGAAGCTCAAAGCAATGAGCAAATGCAAGCTGAATGTCAGGAGGGTCTGTGAACGGGAGCAGGGTGTGAAGAAGATATGGCTTCTTCTGGATGATTAGATCAGGCTGTTAATTAGGGCTGGGTGGGAGAGGGTCTGCCTCCCCATGCCCCTGTGCTTTTTCTTTGGTGAAGGGGTGCTGGGGGTCCAACTGCAGCGCTGAGAGGTTACCATGGGTTATAAAACAGATGTATGAGTGAGGTGGAGAGAACAAGCACAAGGGATCTTAATCCCAAAATTCCAAGTGCTTGCTGTGGGGATTAAACTCATATTTTTGGCTGCTGAATTCGGCAGCGCAGCAGAGCTAGGAGAGTGAATGCCTGGCAGCAGTCAGATGCCCTCCTCCTCAGTGCAAGGGATCAGCTTTGGGAGTTATTCAGGTGGAAGTCAGGAAGGCATTTAACCCAACCTGTGGTATTTTGCCTTTAGCACACGGTGCATCCCACGTGGTGGAGAAGCCGGGGGCTGCTGCAGAAAGCTCCCTGACCCCAGTGCAGTGTTTCATCACAGGCATGCAGATCCCTGCGGATCCCTTCTTTGGGGACAGTGCTGTTTGCAAACTGAAAGACAAACGCCTTGCTGGAACCTCTCGGTGTTTCGTTAAGCATCATGCCTCTGTGATAGGATTGAAGCTGGGCTTTGAATGATGCTTTTTGCTGAGAAGAAAGCGTTAGGGAAGAGACATTTTTCCCGTGGGCTTAAGATCATGAATAAGACAGTGTTATATAAGTGTGACTATAACCTATTTATACATCATGTCAGGCGCACAGGCAGACTATGAATGACAAATCCTCCCCTAATTTCTATGCATATAACAGCAGTCTGTAGCTGAGCTGTGGAACAGCAGTGACCACACATGTCATTCCGTGCCATTGAGAACTGGGACTGCCCTCTGTGCTGTCCTGAGGGGCAGTGGGTTTGGTGTCTGGCAGTGTCACACTGGGGCCAAGACAGCAGGCACAAGGCTAACAGAATTATTAAATAAGATGCAAGAGGAAAGGCCCTGGGATTCTGGTGGTACTCTGTGCCTTACTCCTTCCCCACATTACGAGTGCTCTCAGCTCCTACAAATCCAGGCGGGATTCACAGCCCTGGTCTGTCACACTTCACTGTTCCAGCAAGATGTTCTACTAACTGATGCCTTTAGGAGGTGTCCCAGCCAGTTGAACAGCACTGGGAGCCTTAAAGAGATACTTGAAATCCAGCAATGTTATAGGGCTGTGAAAAGCCCACCCAAACTGATGACCTGCCTGTGAGTGCAGCCAGCAGCAGGCACCATGGGTGAACTTCCGGCCTTGTGCCATTTGTGCCTGAGGGCTTCCTCAGCCAGTCCTAGGATTTTCATCTCTAATAGCCTGTAAGAGATTTTTCCTCCATGAATAGGCCCAGCTGCTTTTTAAACTCATGCAAATGTTCAGCTTCCCCAGCATCCTGCAGCAAGAAGTTCCAATGCTTCGTTGGGCAAGAGCCACTTCCTTGGGTTCACTTTGAACTTGCCACTTCCTTGTCTTGCTGCTCCTCCTTGTTTCTGTCCTGGAAGTGACAAATCACTACAAACTCCTGTTCCTCCAGCTATTAGAGAGAGGAAGGAGAGGAGAGGAGAGGAGAGGAGAGGAGAGGAGAGGAGAGGAGAGGAGAGGAGAGGAGAGGGAGAGGAGAGGAGAGGAGAGGAGAGGAGAGGAGAGGA